GTACCGCCGAGAGCAGGACTGCTCCTTTGAGCAGCAGCTAAGTGTAGGCTGGCAGTATTGTCAAACTATGACCTAAATGTGCTTTTCTTGTGACTTAATGGTTTGCGTGACTTTTCACATATTTTAAAATGAGTCAGGCAACAATTTTTAAGAGTCCTTGTGTACTGTGTTGTGTTTGGATGAATTTCCATTCTGAGAAAGCTCGAATAAACCCAACTGTTGCATTTTTATAGGACCCCACTGAACCCAGGCCCAAAGCCACTGAAGTCTCATTCTTTTAATGACAGACATTACATTTCATGGCTGCTATTATATTTCTTTTGGATCTCTCTCTAACAATTAAAAAAAAATTGTGTTATATTTTTTCAAACTGACATGTCCTTTTCATAAAGTACCATGTTGTTTTGGACAGCAGCCATTTTATGTGATGTGTCAAGAATGTTTCACTTGTTCATGAGGGTTCTTCCTAGGCTTGGTTTAAAGGACACTCCTTACTTCATTAGAGAGCAGCGCTCTCTTTTGAATGCTTTCTGGTTTTACCAATGAAAACTTGTTATTTATTCTTAAAATAAGAGATGTTTCTTCCACACATCCTTACATTAGTAATGTTGACAGCATTTGGATAACAAGCATCTGTGAGAGCTGTGAATTGCTGCTTTGTACTCCAGAACACTTGGAACAGCCTCTCCTGTCTATCTTAGGTAGAAAGTGCAAGAGGGTGAATGCTTTAAAAGGAAAACAAACAGCAAACATAAAATTCAGGGTGGAAAACTGCTACTCATTTAAATAAAATTTGGACATAAATTATCAAACTTGTGGAGAAGTTACAAAGCCAATTCACTCTCTTGACAAAAGTTGGCAAGATCCTTGAAACAAACCCAACTTGAGCTAAGGTTGCACATGCTGAAGCTCGTTGAACTCAGAGACCTTCATCGGGGAGGTTAGTACAGTCAATGGAACTGGCAAAGATGCACGTATTGCACTTACTGTTCCAAGACAGTGGATTTTTTTTAATAGACAAGTAATAAAGTTCACAACTTTAAAAAAAATAGCTGAGAGTAATAGCAAGGAAAAGGAACATTGATTAGACATTTCTCTGGTATAAATAATTCCCTTCTATTTGTCAGCTGAAATGAAAAACAGTCAGTAAATGTAAGTCTGGGACATCATATGAGGGAACTGGAACGTAACTTGGAGCATGAGGTGAATGCCCGAGTAAATATTTTCATGTTTGTTTTAGAGATGGGGACTTAAGGGTTTTATTTATTCATTTATTTATACTTTTTGCCATAAAGCATGTGTTTCTATGCAATTAACAGTATTTTGAGGATTCATCAAATTCTTAAAATGCTCAGGCAGCTCCAGTTACTGCTGCTTTAGTTACTGAATTAAGTGTTAGAGGAGCCTTTGAACTGGAACGACGAATGGAGTTTACTAATAATGCCACCTGCCACCCACTTGCTATTTTCTCTTTAAGGAAAGAGCATTTCTTGAAATTGCATTATTTATTATAATGGTACTTGTTGTCATTATATGACCAGATGAGTAGTCAGTTGGATGCACAGGGACAATGTTGGACCTGGGCCTGGAGCTGTTCCTATAGATACCGAAGGGGTGAGATTTGTACATTGCCATCCTCCTCCTTAAGCTACATAATGCCTGGATGGAGAAGATGGTTGAGCTGAGTTAATAGCAGCAGAGCTTGAGGTGCTGTTCCAGTTCCTGCCTTTCATGAAATGGGCTGAGGCTGAATGATGAAAGATGCTGGAGTGGATGGCTGTTACACTCACAGATACTCTGTCTTCCCAGGTTATTCCTCTGCACCTCCAACCTGCTTTTTCTTTTGTGGAAATTTCTCATCTGCACCATATGGAAAAAATCAAATCCAGGCACTGAAAGGTAGGGCAGCCTTTTTGTTGTCAGCCACATACAGTATATTAAAATAGTGATGGCAAAACAATTTAAGAGAGGAGGAAATAAAACCATATTTTCTGAGTAACGCATTTTTGCTCCATTAAAATACACAGGTGATTCATATAATGTGTTTACTATCTAACCAGTTGCTGTATCATAGATCTTTTTTTTCTGATTCTAGATTCTTTGAAGGCACTTGCAGATATAATATGTGAATATCCCAGCATTCATAAAGGGTGAGCAGCAAAATGCTATGAAATGGGAAAGTTGTTTGTTTTGTGGGAAGCTTTCACTGAATTACTTTAAGAAGCTAACAGATCTCATGTTCCCCAACTATTATGAGCCAGCTGTGACTGAGTGTTGTAAGAGGCCTGTGAGATTATTTTGGGAGCAGTGTAGGGTTTTGATTACATCTAGAATAGCTTGGTAATGCAAGCAGCTATTGAATGTCGAAGCGTTAAGCTGTCAATCTCTGGAGCATTTTCCATGTGCAAAATACATAGTCCTGATTGCCAAAAAATGCTCTCCAGGTGAGCCTCTCCTTTCCTGCAGCTTCCTTGAAATGGAGAGGTTCTGCCTGTGCAGTGCTGTTTTGTACACCCATGCTTGAGTGTTCATGCTCCTAAGAGTAACTACAGGCTTTCAAACTGTGGCAGCCCCAGAAAACACCAGCTGAAACACTGGCCAGACACGTAGCCACCTCCTTCCTACCTCTGTGGATTGCCTAGGTGGTTCTCTTCAGCCATCAGTTTGAGAGCTGACCAAACCATGCAGTCCTGCAAAGGACTCGTATTCCTTCATCCCTTCTTGGTGGAGGCCCCATCGCAGGTCTGGAGGGCTGCACCATTCCCAGGGGAGACTGAAGAGATGAAGGAAAAGAGGAGCAGAGACAGCTGGCCTTATCCTTTCTAGCTTCTGACCCTGCAAAATCAGAACAGTAGCAGAACTGGTGAGGAAAGCGGGCCCTTCAGGCACAACGGCCACGCCAGGCTCCTGATTCTCTTTCTGTGAGCTGGGAGCAGGGCTGTCTGCGGCACGGCGCCTCCGCCGCGCGTCGCGGCAGCGCTCCGGGGATGCCATCACGGAGTCCGTTCTGCCGAGGCCTGCGGCAGGCTGCGTTTCTGGTCCCCCTCTCTTCCCACAGGCAGCCTTCCTTTACTGTGAACAGTTCCTAGAGCTTTTCCGCTTCTTTAGCGAGGAATGGATATGGATCTTACGCTTCAGTTTTGATTTATGCGGTTCAAAGTTTGGAAGGGCTCTCATCCCTGCATTGGAATAGATTATTGACATGCCTACATGGAGTAATGACAGTATAGGACCTGTATTTTTTAGAATTGTTTTAAATAAAAGCAATATATTGAACTTTTTACAGTAGCCGATTTGTGTTTGTTCCTGGCCCTGAAGACCCTGGTCCAGGTTCTATTCTACCACGGTCAGTTTGGTCACTTTTTTTTTCACATTTTAAAATACTGAGTTAAACAGTTAAAGAAGATAAGAGTCTTAGCTGCTTTATTTGTTGCTATTTATTTTAGACCTCCTCTGGCTGAAAATATCACTCAGGAATTCAGACAGTTGGTGCCATTTTCATTTTTCACCACAAATCCTTGCAGGTAACAGTCTAACTTGATGCTCTTTTACTGAATGACTAATTTGTGTGTAGATGTAATGGTCTTAAATTTTCCAAATTATTTTAATTCCTCACTTGCATTACCTGTAACTGGTTTAAAATGCATTAATATATGAATACATTAGCAATGCAAGTTAACATACTTCCCTATTTTAATTTACTATCAAATAAAGTATTCTGTGCATACACTTTCAATAACATTGATTGAAAGTAGTGCTAAAAGTTAGATAAAAGAATATGAAAAACCTGCTCAAGCGCAACATGTTTTTCGGGGATGAAGGGAAGATGGAAAAGCAATATTTTAATTGAAATGCACTTTATCATTTTGCTGCAAATTAGAGGGAAAAGATCAACTTTCTGATACAGATCCTCATGTTTTAGTGTTTCATTCCAATTCATTTAACTTTGTTAATATTTGCCATTTAGGATTCAATATTGCACACAAGAAATAATTATCTTTCGTGAAGATTTGGTAAACAAAATGTGCAGAAACTGTGTCCGCTTCCCTAGCAGCAGCATGGACATTCCTAACCACGTAAGTGAGCTGCGCTCAGCACTTCTTGCTCAGATCTCTTGCTCTGTTGATCTGCTCTGAACTGAGGGTGCTCCTGCATACTTGTTCAGTATGTACTCCTTTGCAAAGCCTTGCAAGAGTAAACAAGTTTGGCAAAAGAATTGTAAAAGTAGGTCTGCAAATGTAGTGGTATTACTTTGATTTGCATCTTTATAGTAAAATAAGTGACACCGTGATACTCCCTGGTGGTGCTGAGTCATTTTGACTGTCCCAGGGATCCTTGAACCCTTCCTAGCAGCTGCCTGTTGGTGTCCATGCACCAGCCACAAACTTTGCACCAAGAAACCTTGATCTCTAAAGGGAAGGTTTAGCACAAATTACTTTCTGAGTCTTGATCAATTAACCGGTGATATTTGCAGTAAAGCAGCATGTCATTTTTTTGAAAGGTCATCTGCTTCCTCTGACTTCTCACTTGAAGTCTTGATCCTGCTTTAGATTAATCTCCGAAGTGCTTGGAGTTATGATTCTAGTTAATGAATGCACAGCAGGCACAGATAGAACTTGCTGATAAAATTGAATCAGGGTGATTTAGGCAACACTGGCTCTTTGCAGTGACCAAATCTGTTTTTTACTTTGGTTTTGACTTGAGAACTTCCTTTTAACTCTTTCTTACTCGTTCCTTCCCTTCTTCTCTGTGTGCATGTGTTTTCTCAGGTGCATGTATACACTAGAAGTCTCCACTGCTGCACTCAGACAGGAGTTTCTCTCTTATGTTAGGAGAGGAAGGAATCATGAAGAAAACTTATTTACTTATTGCAACACTTGTTTTCCAGTATCTGCAACTACAAATATTGGGCTGCTTTCACATGCTTATTTTTCCTCAGTCTTTTTTTTGCCTAGATAATCAATTATTTAGTTTTACCATCAGTGTACAAAGATTAATGAGAGAAAAATTAATAACATTTTTAGGCTTCCCACAGGGTTAGTGGGCATATGCTTTGTATATCATTCTCCTTTCACCAGCAGACCTTTTCACCAAGTTGCTATAGCAATTTTGACCTCGTGAGGCAAATGGGATCCAATTGTCCCTGTGTGATTGATTACAGATAATAGAAATTTTCAAGGGGCCTGAGCAGGGAGCTTCAAGAGCCAAGACACCTTGGGCAGAATGTGCTGGATGAAGGGAGTTTACAGGGGCAGGTAGTGTACAGGGCAGGGCAGCTCCCTGAACAGCAGGGAAGAAAATGGAAATCGTGAGGAAATGGGAAGCCCCAGCGCAGGGAAAATGCAATGTTTAACTGTGGTGACCTGGTACTGTGAGGAAAATAAACAGAAGCCCTGAGAAAGAAAATGCAGCAGATTCTGTGGTTTGTTGGAGAGTCCTATCAATGGAATAGCTGTCATAAAAATTATTTGGACTGCCATTATGTGAATTTTTTTTTTAAAAAAAAAGACCTTAAAATATTGCCTGTTAAGTTGCAGAAATGGCTTTGTATTAGAAACAAACAGCAGCTGACTGTCAGGACAGCTACTGCTTTATTCTAAAAATCATTAATATAATATAAGAGAAATGCATTAAACCGGCTGGTATCTTGGGAACAACACTTCTTTCTTAATTGGGCATTGGTAACTGCAGTGGAGGCTGGAACGTGTTTGGTTAGAAGACAGTTTAAACTAATATACTTTTATCTTGCAGTTTGTAAAGACTATATTATCCCAAGGGCATCTGACGCCGCTTCCGCTTTATGTCAGCCCTGTGTACTGGGCCTACGACTACTCCCTGCGGGTGTATCCTGTGCCAGACATGCTCGTGATCGCAGACAAATACGACCCCTTCACTGTCACCAACACTGACTGCCTTTGCATCAATCCTGTAAGATTTTCTTACACTTCACCCAAATAAGGTTGTACTGGACTTCTGTAAACATCATTTAATTTACAGAGTGGAATTACTTAAATATTAGGAAAATTAGTAGGTGTTCAGCAGCTGAAGGGAGTGCAGCTACGTTTGAGTGAATTTTTTACTATTTGTCTGCTGTTTTCCGTATACAAGTGTGGTATGTATTTCTTTACAGGGTTCATTTCCAAGGAGTGGTTTTTCATTCAAGGTGTTCTACCCCTCCAATAAGACAGTTGAAGACAGGTAAATATGTTCAGTTTCTTGTTTAAAGCAAATATATTTTTATTTGTTGACTTTCTAATTCTCAGAAGGGACACAGCAAATCATAAAAATAGAGTGAATGTTCTCTGATTCAACTTCATGCCTTGCAGTAGAAGCTTTATTTTTCCCAAATGGGTATATAATGCCCCAATATATGGGAACTGATAATAGATCCTGATAATATGCTTGTGACCTTTACTGGAATATAGAAAATATCATAGCAGAAAGCTTTGTTGTGCTGTTTAAGTTTTAAATAAGTCTTTAAATAGTTTTAAAATACCATCAAGTCTTTCATATACCAAGAAATGGAATCATGTGTTATTTATTGTGTACTGTTTTAACAAACTAAATATTGTTTTTGTTTGGTATTTCCAGCAAGCTCCAGGGTCTCTGAATTTCTGCAAGACTGCAAAAAAAGAATAAGCATTTGCGAATTTACTGTAGTACTTGTTTTAGATGGATTTATTTTATTATGTATTGCTGACTACTCACAGTAAATGTCAAAGCTAAAACTAGTATATTTTGTAAATAAAGAAACTTTTACAGGTAAAGGTGCTGGTGTTAGCTTTTCCAGGAAAACATAGAGTGGCACCAAAGATTGATTTGAAGGACATAATAGAAAGATGGCAACCGAGAACCAGATGCATATATATCAAATAGGAAGTATATATTTAAGGAGATAAATAGACGTTTGGGTTTCATCATGCTGAGTCAAACGGATAGCTGTTTGCTCCAGGAGAGGCTGGAAAGGCTGGCTAGGATATTGCTTTGGAAAGGTTTGGAGGAGACGGGTGAGGTGTTGACCACCGGTGGCAGTTAAGGCTGTGGATTGTGCTGCACAGACAAGGTGAGAAGTAAAATGGGAAGGAAGGAGGCCAGTGTCCTTGGATCGAGGGAGGAGATTCTGCCCTCTGCTCAGCCCTGGGGAGGAACCTGGAGCATTGGGGGCAGTTCAGGGCTCCCCAGGACAAGAGGGACATGGAGCTGCTAGAGAGGGGCCAGCGCAGGGCCACGAAGGAGATGGAGGGACTGGAGCAGCCGTCAACAGAGGG